ATTGCAAAAATAGTCCAAACTGCCAACCGTACACATTCCTGTCAGGTATCCTAACATTCTGAGAATGCCATCACCTAGCTGAAAATCATCACTAGACATGCATTCTTTTACTGAACACCATCTCTTCTGTTGTACTTCTGGAGAGACCCCAGTTTCAAGCACAAATTAAATGAGGCCTCAATTCAGTTGTGACTTGCCACTCAGTTCAAGATACTTTATTCCACAAAGCAATGAGCTCACCTCACTGGTCAATAATGACACTCCCTGGACTGTGGGCTCCTGGAAAAGCTCATAGTCAGAGTTGACGTCAAAGTTCAGCATGAATCTGGAATCCAGAAACTTTGTGGGCAAACAAGAAATATTTTGGTGATGGGTAAAGGTGCATGCAGGAACTCAAAAGGGTACTCGGTTTCAAAACGTTGGCATACCAGACAGCGTTGCTAATAATGTCAGCATTTCTGCAGAGGACACCAGGCACTGTTGGAAATAAACTGACCGGTTTGGTATTCATTAATGTACTAAAACACTGCAATGTTACAGGCAACTACAGACAGTAAAACCCAGGGAAAAAGCAATTATTCAGATATAGGGGACTGTGCTCTCCAGAACAGACTATGAGGGTTGTCACAGAAGTTCTCCACCTTAACATTTAGTAGTAGGCTGTGTTTTAGGATTTATTAATACATATATTGCATACCTGTATGCCCAGTTGTGAGATTTAGTTATGTTCATTTTTTTTTTTTTATTAGAATGTTACTGGGTTAGCCAATGAAGCTGAGAAGCAAGGGCTTGGAGGAGTGATGATAAAAAAATCTGCATAACTCTAGGTTCACACCTAGGCATTTTGCAGAAACACACTACAGTCCATTTAACATGATTTCCTATGGGAGAGGTTCACATCTGCGTTTTCACCCGATGCATTTTTTTGGAAAGGGTCAGGGACTTTTTTTTTAATGTGTTTTTGGTTCTATAGACTACAATGTAAACTATGCAGAAAAGTATGAGTTTTAAGTCTGCCTAGCAACAAGAAAAAACAAAACCGCAGACCGCATTAAAAACGCATGTGCAAAAACACACTGCAGAAACAGATCAAACACAAACTGCATAGGTGTGAACATAGCCTAAAATAGGGTTGGAACTAAACACCATTCCTGTAGACAGTGACAATATTGGGGGGAGGATATGCCTTCATACAGTACTGGAAAGCGTAGGGCTGTAAACCCAGAAATGGAAGCATGCCTGTTGACATTAGCCATTAGGGTAGATGGTCCAGGTAGATTATCAGAAAAATTACACTATAATGGCAAAGGTAAGCTCCAAGGAGCAGGGCCCTCCTATTCCTCTTGTATTGAGCTGTATTGTTGCTGTATTGTCTCCCGTTATATTGTAAAGCGCTGAGCAAACTGTTGGTGCTATATAAATCCTGTATAATAATAAATAATAAAAGGTTTGTTGAAACCTCTCCATCACACTTATATGAGCTTGATAACCATCTCATTCTAAAACCATCGGATTATAGGAGTTATCCCCCTGTGGTTATAACAGCCTCCACCCTCCTTTCCACAAGATTTTGGATTGGGTCTGGACATTTGTGCCCAATTCAGCCAAAATAGCATTTGTAATGTCAGGTACTAATGTTGGACAGCATTCAATCCAAAAGGTGTTCAATCAAGCTGAGGTTAGGCCTCTATACAGGCCACTCAAATTGCTCCACATCAAACTAGTCAAGCCATGTTATTTTTTTTTTTTTTTTTTTTTTGTTAACCTGGCTTTCTGTAACTTAACTCAATAAAGTGGAGTAGTGTTCAAATATGTTTGACTAAATAGTGTGGATATTTAATGTCCATGAAGATTAGTGAGACATTAGGTATGTCAACAACAGCTTGTCACTGCCATAGGTTCCCTCTGCATACAAAAGGTAGCTGCACATCAAGCACTGCAGATCCTAACCCTGAACAGGTCATTCGACAATTTTGTATGAAGCAAGCAAATTAAAAAAAAACCCAAAAAACAATGATTTGGATTTGTGGAATCAACAGTTTCAGCAGGGAAGGTGATGACAACCATTGTTAGGGATGTTTAGGATAGTGGCAGGGTCTAAAGAACCAAGGAAAATTCACCAAGGGTTTGGTTAATCATATTGCTCCATACCACCCAATTGGCATTTTCCATGACTGCCATCCATGAGTGTTGGAACACTTACATTTTACCTGCTTATCTGTATTTATTTCCCAACACATTTTCTAATCTAAAATAAAATAAGTGTCTAGTAAGGATTTTGGGACAAGAGCTACATTGATGCAAGATATATTTTAAAACCTTTTGACTTTTTTTTTTTTCCCTCTCTATGTGGTGGAACTACACAAGCCTTCAATGTTACAATTAGGGATGCACCAAAGTTCCAATGGCGGAAAATAGCCCTATCAGTACTGCAGATGGAGGGGGGATGAGAGAGGCAGGTGAGGAGGTAAGCAATGTATACAGTGAGGAAGTAATGTATACAGACAGGCTCCCTCACCTGCCACCTCTTTTATATAAAAAAAAAAAAAGAAAAAAAAAAGCAGGCACTGGCATTTAGCAACAGCAAGTGAGGGGGCCTGTTTGTATACACTGCTCCTCCCCTGCCCCGTCCTTCCACACACTTCCCCACCCCCCCACAAAGAGGACCTGTCACTTATATGCTATCACATACGGGACTATGGGTCCCCTATGTGAGAACAATAAAATCAAAAGTTAAAAACAAAAAAGTAAATAAAAAAACACATTAAAAGTCAAAAATACAAAAAAAAAAAAAAAAAAATTGAGCCTCCTCTTATACACAGACATTTCAGTTTTCGGCCAAGTGCATCATGAGTTTTCATTTTGGTGCACCACTAGTTACAATATAGAAAAACAGACCAACCATATTTGAGGATCACACAAGCAGAGAAGTAATGAAACTAACCTTGGGATGGAGTTTATTGCTCTTTGCTACCAATATTATTTACATTACATTTTTACTTACATAATAATGAAGTGCCAGATTTTTGGTCCTCATTTTTTTGCTCTACTGAAATAAAGTAATTAATTTCCAAGTCTGTAAGAAGGCATATTCAGTCAACTGCCTCTAGAGAATGGGAACCTCCATTTACTGCAGGCTTGAACCTGCTTCCAGTACCAACATAGTAATGGCGATAGAAGATATGTGGCCTGGCGACGCACTTGATAACCTGTCTTGTTATTTTATACTCAGTAAAAGATCATCTCACTGAATTATTACAAGTTAAGTTTTTTCTATATTATCCACAGAACACAGAGTTCACACAGAAGCAGTGTGGGAAACCTCCTTGCACTGATCCCATGCTGAGCAGAGAGTGGAAAAGAAGGGCATGTGGGGATGTATACATTGATGTCGGCTATCAGATGGGAGGATGGAGGCAGATGCTCTGAACTCTCAGCTGTAGGTGAGGAGAGAAAGGGGATTTGAAATCTCCGTAGCTCTCTCTCCTCGCAGGCATGACAACATGGGCTAGATGGCTCAGCACCAATATAGTGCTAACCAATCAGAAGTCGTCTAGCCCATACTGTCATCCCTGCACCGAGAGGAAAGAAAGCCGTGAGGATTTGAAATCCCTGCGGCTTTCTCTCCTCTCCTACAGCTGAGAATCTGAAGCATCTGCCTCTACCTGATAGCAGAAATAGTGATTATTATGTTCATGTATGCCTGAAATTAATGAGTATTTTCTTCCCTGCCACTTCAGTCTTTTGCTGGGAGCAAAGGAAATAACAGTTGCCTGGCTTCAACAATTTCTGAGTCACAAAACCAGAATGCCTCATCTGCATGCTTGTTGCAGATCAGCACCTCAGGTTACGTTAAAGCCTCTGGGTCAACATGACAGCCAGAAAACCAGCTAAAAATATGTATTTCCGTTCTTCACTTGTTTTAATACTGATAAATGGATTGGATTTAGTTCCCATGCTGGAGAAGGACAAGTCCTGAATGTTTCCTCATTACCAGGGTTCAACTGTTCGGCTGTACCAAGACCATTTGCTGTAAGTTAATATAGGCTTTCGATTAATGAGTGAATACCAAGAATGAATTGTCCCTCTTCAGGCAACAATGTCAATCATTGGGAACTGCATTCTAAAACATATTGGTCATTTTTTAATACATGTTCTATACTGCCTTATACCAGCTTTCCAAACATTTGGCTTTCTAGCCGCTAAGAAACCAAGTCCCAGCATACATGTGTAAGGCTACATTCACACAGAGCTAAGCATTTATTCAAGTGGGTTTTTTTTAAGCAAATTTGCAAATATAGGCGTTTTTTTCCAAGGGTTTTTCATTTTGGCATTTTTGCTGTGGCCAACAGAAATAGCTGGGGAAAAAAAAAAACAAACAAAAAAAACAAAAAAACAAACACTCATTCCCACAGGTGTGCAGGCGTTTTTCATTCAAGTCTATGGGGACAAAATGCTCAGGTCTGCCTGAAAAGTAGCACAAGTACTTGTTTGAGCGACAGGTGTTTTGCTACAGGCGATAGAACACTCAAATATGAATAGGGTTATTGGAAATAATGGGATTTAACTTGTTGAGCATTTCTGAGCATCCAGCTGCAAAAACACTCAAGTGTGAACGGGGTCCAAGGGTGTGACAAAGCATAAAAAGTTTTTAAGTCCACAACAGTGGGAGAACCACAGACTGTGGAAGACCCACATATATACCGAATAGCTTTTATTAGCAGATTTCAACAAACTGAAGAACTAAAATGATATCGACCACATACAATGGCTGTCAGTACAAAAAGCAGGCTGCTTCTATATTGAATCTACTTGTACTTGAACACCTTTAATAATAAACAAAAGTTCTGTTTGGTAAAAGAAAGTAATTGCAACAATACACTGCCTATGACAATGCACTGACAGTGTGTACAACAAAATCTACAATTACAATTTTATAGCTTTTTTTTTTTTTTTTGCTTTAACATAGGTGTCTCAGTACTTATTAAAAACAAACATTTTTACTGAAATCTGCTTCTTTGTGGAAAGTGGGCACCCATCTCAGGCATACCAAGGGGACGAGCAGAAGGTGCCATATTATGTGGTCCTCTTAACTCCTGGGCTTCTGATGGCTTCTTGGGGGGATATGGTGCAAACCTGTTGGGTGGCCTGTGCGGTTCTTCTGAAGGATTCATCTTCCTACCTTCAAATGGTCTGAAATAAATAAACACTAGTTGCTTATTGTACTGCCCAAAATTAGGATGTACACATTTAAAGAAGCCTGTATGGAGAGAAATATTTTTCTCGTGTTGACTTGATATTTTAATGTGATGAATAGCTAGAACAGGTAATGACTAAATGCCTGTACAGTACTACCTCCCACATCGTAGCCCAAGCCATTCAGAAAAACAGGGACTCAAGCTATTGGAATGAATAGGGCAAGCTGCACACATACCCAATGGATTAAGGATGCGACCAGGACTTTTTTTTCTGCAAAATATATGTGCAGCTCTGAGCAGGGCAATGAGTCCAATGAGTGACAAAGGGCAATTTTTATTGGACTGCGTGATATCAGTTGCCAAGGCTTAGCCATGAAGTCCAGAGCCATCAATGTATATCTATCTCGGGCAGAGAGGAAGCTTACTGTATATGTCAAAACAATCACTAAAATCTAATATTGTTTCCTTGTATTACAAAAGTAATTTTGAATTTCATGTCAAAATATCTGATAATCCTGTCATGAACGTCCTTGTGCAGAAGGTTCCTGTTTTAGAATGACAATGCTCTGTACTGGTCTGCCAACTGTAATCACATGTGCTACTATAACAGGCTGTACAGCTTCTCATTATGTAGGCTTGTTTTACCATTGTCAATCACAAAACACACTCTGAGCAAGGACATGCAGCTGCTGGAGTACATGCATGTAAACACAAAGTACTGTGATGTAACAAAGGATTAAAAAAAAATTATTTTCTAAGAAAAAAACAAAAACAAAAAAAGAGCAATATTTGACAAATATCAAGTTAGCAAACCCAATGTCATCCAGTGATGGTTTAGATCTGTTTAATGGTAATAGCAAGCATCTTGAGGGGTCTACTCCTGAAGATGATCTCTGGTCTGGGGAAAAAAATAAAAAAATAAAAAAAGTCAGCCGCTACAAATACTGTAGCTGCTGACTTAATAAAAACACTCACCAGTCCAGGGATCCAGTGCAGTCCTCACCTGGGCCAATTTTTTTCGAACAAGCCGGGTGGAAAATTATCAGTTGAATAGTAGCTGCATCCAATCATTTGCAGTCACTGTTCAGCCTCAGATGCTGGTTGTCAGAATGCAAGAGATAGCAAAGAATATTTCCTTATCCCAATTGTTTAGTTTTAACCACTTGCCCTCCTGAAGATTTACCCTCCTTCCTGACTAGGCCATTTTTTGCGTTACGGAGCTGCGTTACTTTAACTCACAATTGCGCGGTCATGCAACACTGCACTCAAATGACCATTACGTCTTTTTTCCCACAAATTGATCTTCTTTTGGCGGTAGTTGATTGCCTGTGCTTTTTTTTATTTTTTGCGCTATAAACTGACAATTAAGAAAAAACAATATTTTTGCCTTTTTCCTATTGAAATGGTCCAGTATAAATAAAAAAAAAAAAAAAAAAATTGGCATAAATTTAGGCCAAAATATATTCTGCTACATGTCCTTACTACAGAAAATCCCAATATTGTAAAAATTAATTGGTTTACGTGAAAGTTACAGCGTTTACAAATGGCGGTATATATACTGGGATTTTTTTTTTCACTAGTAATGGTGGTGATCAGCGACTTATAGCGGGACTGCGGTGGACTTTCTGACACTGGGGGGGGGGAACTGACATCACCATTGAAACCAATACAGTGATCAGTGCTAGAGAGAGAGAGAGAAAAAAAAAAAAAAAAAAGCACTGACAGTACTAATGGCACTGGGCAGGAAGGGGGTTAACATGAGGGGCGATCAAAGAGTTAACTGTGTACTGGGTGTGCTTTACTAGGGGGCGGTGTCTGTGTGCTTCACTGTAAGCACACTGCTTTGGATGGCTGTGCGTCCAAAGCAGTGTGCCCAAGCTGACAGGGAGAAAGAATGGTTAGTGAACAAAACAGTTATCCTACCCCATCGGAGATCCTCAGTAATCACCGCATGGGACCCGGTAACTGACAGCGTGCGCTCCCTATCCGGAAATGCAAAATCATGTATATATACACCTGATTTTGCGCACCCGTGTGCCCTGTAGCAGTATTTCTGTTATAGGGTGGTCGGGAAGTAGTTAATGGGGGAATTTATTAGATTTCTCTTGTTCTATCCTATGAACTGTACAAGAGCAATCTGTACATGTAAGGCTAGCTTTAGGCAGAACTTTTTCATCCAACAGCCCAATAAAAGTGTTCCTTATAAAAAAAAAAAAACCAAAAAAAAAAAAAAACACAATACTGGTTTGTCCTGCTGACTGTTCAGTAATTCCACCTTCCAACTCCTACATCACAATTCTACCTCCCACCACCTACATCACAACAGTCCACCATAATGACATGGGTGTCAAAGGAAGGACCCACTAACTGCAGTGGGGAAAGGGGGGGGGTAAGAACCCATCACACCAAGAAAAGTTGGTTTCTGAGGAGACTTCAGCATGCAATTACACTGGTGTGCAGAGTGCAGCTAACATTCAAGTCTGGAATTTTTCACACTTCTACAATTGCTCAGTCTAGCAACACTACCCACTGCTGGCACAGCAGTCTGAATGTACAAGCAGCCTGGCAGCAGGCAATTATGCCCATCAGTGACCACTTAATGAGATATCTAAAGCCTTTTTTTTTAAACCAGTTAGTAAATCTGCTATAGGGCGTTCTTTAACTGCTACAGGACGGCTAGTCTGTGCAAAATCACGTATATAAACTTGATTTTGCACTTCCTGGTGTAGGGGGTGTGCTTAGTCACAGCAGAAGCTGATGACTAGCTGATTGGCGAGGAGAGTGACAGGACACAGCTCTGTAAAAAAAAGCAAAGCTGTGTCCTGTGAGCCGCGATCTGCTAGATTTTCTTTCCCAGCAAAGCAGAGAATAAAATATAGCAGATTGCCTAGTAAAATCACATTACTGTGTACACAAAATACACAGCTAGGCCGACAGCTAACCATTTGACCCTAGATGTTTAACCCATTACCAGTCAGAGTCACTAATACAGTGACCATGTATATTTTTAGCACTGATCAATGTATTCGTGTCACTGGTTACCAAAAAGTGTCAGATTGTCTGCCGCAATATCGCAGACCCGCCATTAGATGCTGATTGCTGCCATTACTTTTATTAAAAAAAATTAAAAATCCATTATATATTGCATAGCTTGTAGACGCTATAACTTTTGTGCAAACCAATTAATATACGCTTATTGGGATTTTTGTAACCACAAACATGTAACAGAACACATATTGGCCTAAATTTATAAAGAAATCTGATTTTAAAATTATTTTATTGGATATTGTTTTAGAACAGAAATTAAAAAAATATATATTTTTTTAAATTGTCCTATTTTATTTTGTTTATAGCACAAAAAAATAAAATGCAGTGGGTGATCAAATGCCACCAAAAGAAAGCTCTATTTATGGGAAAAATAAATTTTATTTTGGCACAGCGTTGTATGACCGCACAATTGTCAGTTAAAGTAATGAGATGCCGGATCACAAAATATGGCCTGGTTTTGAAGGGGGGTAAATCTTGTGGAGGCCAAGTGGTTAAATAACAAACATGCTATACTTACTCCACACAATGTGCAAGGGCTTTGCACAGAGCAGCCTGATCCTCTTCTCAGGTCCCCCGCTGATGCTCTGGGCTCCCTTTCCCTGCTGACCGCCCCCATAGCAAGTCACTTGCTATGGGGGCACTTCTGCATTTTTGCTTTCGAGCCACGTTCTGTGTGTCCATAAGACACAGAACAGGCTTGGCCCCGTCCCCATTCCCTTCTCAGTGGCTGTAACTGACAGAAGTAGGAGTCAATGGCACTCACTGCTGTCTCTGAGTTAATGAGGCAGAGAGCCGGGACAGCAGACACTCTCGTGGCTCAGGATTTACAACTATTTTAAACTTTAACCACTGGAGTTTCCGCACCTTTAACCTATATAAACCCTATTGAGTCCCAGGGCTTTTTTTTTCCCCCTCAAGTTTTGGACATGTGATAGATTGTCTTACAATTTCTGCTTTGTTTTGCAATCATCCTAGTCAGTCTTGATATTTTTGGAGGATAGACAATACTTTCTTTTGATAGACTTTATATTTACTTTGAGTTTTTGGGGTCCATGCACAGTAGGAGTTTTCAGGAGTTTAGTTGCAGGGGAGTTTACAGGCAAAGAAAAACCCTATAACCTTTTTTCAGTCAAGGCACCCTTTAAAATTAAAGACATTCTTGAGGCACTCTTTAAAATTATGGACAGTCTTGAGGCACCCCCTTCTAAAATGTGAAAGGCTATTCTAATGGTTTCATATAACGCAGCAACATCCACACATGTAGGACACCCAACATTAGAAGTGATTTATTCTTCCAAAGCAAATACACTTGTGCACACCGGTACTGACTAGTATTCCAATGTTTCTCTTCTCCCTCAGTTTTTCTCCATCACTGGACTAATGTGACCCCAGCACTGATGAGAAGGGCAGGGAGGGTCAAACTAGGATGCTGTGCAGGCAGCGGACATCCTCCTTATCAACTGATAATGTCATTGGTTGTCAGGACTCCAGAGGCTAGAAGGTCCTAATGGTTCACAATGAAAACCTGTGGCTTTGTGTAACTAAAAGGCAGACTTGTTCCACCCGCTGACTTGTATTTAAGTTTTGGGCAATTTGTAGACATATTGCCAAGGCACCCCTGAAGAAACCTCAAGGTACCCCAGGGTGCCTGAGCACCCTGGTTGAGAAAGGCTGCCCTACAAAACAGCTACCCCAAAATGATTAGATTTAGAAATGTAGACCAAGGTTTTTAGCAAGAGGTATAACATTTTACCCAAATTTTTCATGCGATTAACAGCACAATTTAGAAAAAAAAATGTAATTACAGTGACAGGTTAAGCAAACGCAGTGATGGCATGGTATAAACTGCATCCAACAATATGTTCAAACTCTCCTGTGCACAAGGATAAGTATATGCCTTAGTCGCTTAATGGGAACATGGCAGAGGACATAATGAAGCATGGCAGAGGGATACAAAAAAATACCGGGTCAGTATTTTGGTACCGTATTGCCATTTACAATGACTCAGAAGTGGCAAGACTGGTTTAGTTTCATGCATTATGTTTTTTTTTTACTCTAACCAAATGTATTATACATGTTTTTTCTCCAGACAGATTTAATCTGACAGCAAATTTGGATACATATATTATATTCCTTTGGATTATTCGTAAAAAAAAAAAAAAAAAAAAAAAAAAAAATGAATCTGCTTTTTTTCTGTATTCTTTCCTCAACATAACGATCATGATATTTTTGCGCCCTCATAAATATAGTCAACAAAGTTTACTAAAAATGATATCACTTTAATGTAACTTATTGAACATAGCAGAATAGTAAAGCTCAACGTGAATATGTGTTTTACTTTAAGGAGTGCTTTATTCGCCTTTTGATGCTACACTGTATGCAGGGAAAGCTGGCTGATCTCAAGTCAAACAGTGTCTGCATTTAAAAAATAAAAAAGGTTCTATTAATCTTTACAGTGCTGGATTAATCTGTGTCTATTTGCCTGGAGCTCAGATTTAAATAAAGTCTTGCCTAAATTATTCCCTCTAAAAAAAAAAATGCACCATAATCATACCTTGCAAAATCCTCATGCATTGATCCATCCATTGGTCTTGGCCCTCTCGTTGGCCCTGGATGCATCCGCTCATTTAGAGGCCTTTCCATGGCTCTTGCATTACCCTGTTGCATCCATTCATTCATGGAACCATCTGTGGCCCGAGCATCACTTGGGTACAACCGATTCATAGGGCTTTCTGTGGGGCGTGCAGGTCTAGGGTACATTCCATCTCCACCATCTCTTGGGTACTGTGATCATTATTAGAGCCATCCATAGCTTTTGCACCTCCTGGATACCCTCGGTCAACCATGGAGTTTGGCGCAGGACGTGCACCCCTTGGGGGCATCCGAGGATTCATGGGACCACCCATTGCTCTTGGGCCTTTTAGATGCATCTCTTCATATGCAGGATCTTCCATATTTTGTCCTTCCATTGGGTCCATCCTTTCGTTCATGGAATAGTCCATATGCCGTGCAGGGTTTGGATGCATTCTTTCAGATAATGGGCCTTTCATCGGACCTTCCATGGCCCGTAAACCTCTATGAGGCATCCTTTCATTCATTGGCCCTTCAAAGTTCCGTAATTCTTGTGGATGCAACTTTTCATTCATGAAGCCTTTACCTGCTCTGGCATCTCTTAGGTTCATTTGGTCATTCATAGAATCCTCCATGAATGAAGTATCTTCCATATAGGGTGCTTCTCTTCCATGTCCCCTTTCACCTATTTGTGCATCCATAGGCCTTGTATTTCTTTGTGGAATTCGTTCATTCATAGAACCTTCTCTTGGATACATTCTTTCATTCATAGGTTCATCCATGAATTGATGCATGTTGTCATTTACAGGTCCTTCCATAAGCCTTGAATCTCTAGGGTTCATTCTTTCACCCATGGGTCCTCCCAATGGTCTTGCATTTCTTGGCTGCATCCTTTCATTTACAGGACCTCGGAAAGAACCAGTCATTGCTTCTCTACCTCTAGGGTCAAATATGGGGTCTTCATTACCAATAAAATCCTCTTCATAAGATTGTTCAGCTTCTTCCTCAAAGTCAGGATTATTCATTTGGTTGCGTGGAAACAATGGTAAAGGATGAGGGGAAGGATCATCATACTGCATATCTGAAGAAAAGTCTTGTGATTGCAATGCATGCATTGGGCGACCCCTTGATCTCACATCATAATCCATGCCTTCACGTACCATCCCAGGATCCTGAAAACGTCGCTGCATCTCTCTGGGCACAAGAGGTGGAATGCTCATGAGGGGCCTTGGTGTAGGGTCATGGAAGCTTTCCATATCTACATTGAAATTTCCAGGTCTTCGTAACCTCTCAGGATACAGAGGCTCTTGTCTATCCCCCATGTAATGTGTGTCCTGAGGCTCATGCGAAGGTAAGCGAAGATCATGATCACCTAGTATATTTCTAGGAGCAACCCTTGATTCCCTTGCATCAAAATCATCCAGGCAGTCGTCCGATCTCATTTGTGGTAAAGACCGCCTATCACGTGCATCAAAATCTCCAAAGTCATTTCCTTGATCATCTCTGAAAGACACATTATGCTTTAGTTTATCTTTATAGATTGAAACACTTTAGAAAATAAATCATGCTCTTTTAGGCCCCTTTAACATGGCTGGATTGGTGCAGCCACCAGATTCCTGTGGTCAGCTGCATCCAGGCTTGGATATCTGTCTCTATCCTCAGCTAACCGCACTGTGTGCAGCTACATGCAAAAAGCAGCGGCTGCAGTCAGCCCACCATTAGTTTAAACGGCTAAGCAGCTGCTGCTGATCGTATAACCCGGTCATTTCATCAGCAAGAATCTGCAGATATTGGCCGCAGGAATGCGGTGGCCACACCAATCCAGCCCTGTTAAGTAGGCCCTACCATTATAACAAGTATATTTTGAGGTATGCATTCCTGTGGAGTACTAAGACATATCTTAAAGTTATGTCAAATCAAGCAGGTAGTAAAAGCAAAAAGGAAGACACCTGTTGAATGCTTCCCATATCCAGCAATGCACAATGGTCCCATATGTGACTCTCTTGTTTTCATTCTCCTCATTGCTCATCCCCGATTTCTGATCATGTGTGCTTTAATACAGGTGTACTTCCCTTGCATCTGCTATGTCATACGTCACACTCTTCACCTACCATCTTACATATGTCTCTCTCTCTTCCCATCATCTGTTTCTTCCTCAGATCTTTGCATCCCTGATCTGTGCATCAACTTCCTGGACTTCCATGCTCTATCGCAGGGGTCTCCAAACTTTCTAAACAAAGGGCCAGTTTAGTGGCTTTCAGACTTTAGGGGGGCCAGACTGTGGTCATTAGGAGAAGATATTGTCCTGCGTCATTGGGAGTAAACATTGGCATTAGGGGAATGAATAGTGCCCTATTCTTGGTGTAAGTTGGAGATATAGTGCCCCATCACTGGTGTCAGTGGGAAGTATAGTGCCCCGTTGTTAGTGCCAGTGGGGGGAATAGTGCCTCATGGTTTGTTTCAGTGAGAGGAATAGTGCCCAATTGTTGGTGTAAATATGAGGACTAGTGCCCAATCGTAGGGGTCAATGGGAGGAATAGTGCCTGCTGATGTCAATAGCTGGAATTATGCCCCCCTATTGGTGTCAGTGAGAGGAACAGTGTCCTGTATCGGTGGGAGAAAAAGTGCCCCAAGGGCCGGATAAGGGCAAGGGCCACATCTGGGCCCCAGGCCATAGTTTGGAGACCATTGCTCTATCGGCTGCTGGAAAAGGAAATTATTTACCGGCTATCTGCAGTAGATGCCTACCTTGATAGATCTTCAGAACCACTATTCAGAGCTCTTTTCTCTTCCTCTGTCGGAGGCAGATCTATGCCAACATTGCTAGTGAACAAACAGAAGAATTAAGAAAAAAAAGAAAAATTTGTGTTAATATATATAAATAAATTTAAATAAATATAAATATATATAGTAGTTAAACAAAAAAAACAAACTAGAAACAAAGTCTAAATGTGCATTTTAAAAAGGAATCTCTGGTCTAATATATATTCAAAACAGAACTCCAGACAATTCAGTTTAATAGAATTTACACATGATTGCTTTACATATAAACTGACTAATGCCTAAAGCACAGTGCAGTGCCAGGACAACACCAGCACTAATGTGTCTGGCATACGGTGTGGATTCATGATCTCTGGACTAAGGCATTGAAGACACTGAGGCACCTTGCTCCAGGTGAAGGCGATAGTATAAGAGGTTAAGAGTATAAGAGCATAAGAGGTTTAAAGGCACCATACCTCTCTTCCATTTTGGTTCTATGTGAGAAAGGAGTGAAAAGCCCCTAGTGGTCTGGAGGAGGAGGCAGAAGGAGTTGGTGGAATCTGGATGGCAGGTTACATACATGCATGATGATACAAATTTGGAGGAGAGTTTTGTGAGCACGGAGGTGGCACTGTATTGTGCAGTCAGCAAGCAGCACGTATATTTTGGTGTTGGATAATCTCGCACTTATATGTGGACTGTATGAGCTGAGGTATTTATACATATGATGAAATGCATTAGATTTATATTTGTTTATTGTATGTTTTAGTTATGTGCAACACAATTCGGATATTAGCAGCGCAGCATCTTTCAACAGATTATAGATCTATGTTTGTCCAAAGCATGTCTGAAGCCACTTACTGTTGACTAACTCTACCTCTACTGGAAGTCTATTCCAAGCATGTTCTAGCCAACTGAATGAGTTTACGCGTATATATGCCTTCTAAATGCCATAAACATGTACAATCACACGTGTTCTAAAAAGGAGCAGGTTTATGCTGTATTTTTCTGTTAAATGCTGACAGAAAAGATTCAGCATAGGAGTATTTTAATACACCCATGTGCATGAGGACAAGTAGACAAAGCCTACCTTCTGAACAGCTCTATTTGTATCCTTGTATTTATTTTCTGTATCTTGCTGCCTCACTAAATACTAAATACCAATTGCTGTTGGTATTCCTTTTTTAAGCCTGTCCAAATGCATGTCGTATGCTGTCTGGCTGAAGCAATATTCTCTCTCGGAGAACGGTGATCCAGCCCACAAACACTTTAGGGCATGAAGTGGTTGCACAGCAAAGCCTCCAGAAGCGGTTTCATCCCCATAAAAACTCTGAGATCCATCTAAATCTAGATGCACTCGGTTTGCATAAAACTCAAAATGAAAGTTTAACTTCATTTTTAAAATACTACCTATAATATGCCACCCTTCCACCTTCAAAAAGCTATTTAAACTTAGAACTTAAAGCATCATTAAATCCAAAAGCAAACAATTGCAGCTTGCTAATTCTTAGATGTGATGGCTGCACTGGTTTTCTTTTTTAGGCCCTCTTACCTTTATATTTAAATGTGATCTGGTCAATAAGTCTGTTTTTCAACAGAACAAGCTGTCCTGCAGATGTAGCAGTTAGGGGGCTTGAGACAAACCATTTACCACTGACAGGGGGTGCTTACAGTGATCAGCTTTTATGTAAACCTTTATTCCAAAAAGGAAAAAAAAAAAAAAAAACTGTGTGCTGTAGCAGATTATAAAGTATTAGCTGGATTTGTTTAGTGCATCTAAATATGCTTGTCCATCTATCACTCCATTCCCCCCAGATTAACAATGATGCCATCCAAAGTTGTCTCTCTTGCTCCTTTATCCATAGTGAAGAGAATGTAATACAAGTGTGTTACTAGCAAGATCATCAGGTGAAAAAGCCTAAGAAAACAAAACTAATGCAGCTACCATATCGAAGGATTAGGAAGCTGTAATATATTACATTTTTTGTTTGGGTTTAATACCGCTTTAAAAGTGACTGTCATGAGAGAAGTAGGAAGCTGCCATTTTAGGCATTATATGAGTCAGTTATTGTTCCAGAACAAGCATGCTGTAAACAAGAGTCAGAACTACTTAACCCTATGCTTGTTCTCAGTCAGCAATCCAGACAACTTTGAAGTCAAAGCACCAGAATGACAGCCAGGACACGTTCAAAAGGAAAATTTGATAATGGCGGCTTCAATAAAGCATCTAGGCATGCAGACTGCTTTTACAAACATTTTTGAAAGAATAGGTCGCTCTCAGGAGCTCAGTGAATTCAAGCGTGCTATCACGATAGGTTGCCACCTGTGCAATAAGTCCATCCGTGAAATTTCCTGGGAACAACAGCAACTCAGCCACCAAGTGATAGGCCACGTAAAATGACAGAGCGGGGTCAGACCATGCTGAAGCGCACAGTGTGCAGAAGTCGCCAACTGTCTGCAGAGTCAATTGCTAAAGACCTCCAAATTTCGTGTGGCTTTCAGATTAGCACAACAGTGTGTAGAGATCTTCACAGAATTATTGTTATACAAGATTTATATAGAGCCAATAGTTTATCGCAGTGCTTTACAAAATAAGGGCAGACAGTACAATTACAATACAAAGGAATACAAGAGGATTCAGGGGGCCCTGCTTGCTAGAGCTTACAATCTAAGATGGGTTTTCATGGCCGAGCAGCTGCATCCAAGCCTTACATCACCAAATGCAATGCAATGCCTCTGATGCAGTGGTGTAAAGCACGCCACCACTGGACTCTAGAGCAATGGAGACATGTTCTCTGAAGTGGCGAATCACGCTTCTGTCTGGCAATCCAGATGAATGTGTCTGGGTTTGGCGGTTGCCAGGAGAACGGTACTTGCCTGACTGCATTGTGCCAAGTGTGGAGGGTGATTATGGTGTGGGGCTGTTTTTTTGAGGGGTTGGGCTTGGCCCTTTATTTCCAGTGAAGGGAACTCCTAAGGCGTCAGTATACCAAGACATTTTGGACAATTTCATGCTCCCAACATTGTGGGAACAGTTTGGGGATGGCCCCTTCCTATTCCAACAGGACTGCAAACCAGTGCACAAAGCAAGGTCCATAAAGACATTGATGAGTGAGTTGGGGTGAAGGAACTTGACTGGCCTGCACAGTTGTGACATCAACCAGATACAACACCTTTGGAATGAATAAGAGCAGGGACTGCAGCCAGGCCTTCTCGTCAGACATCAGTGCCTGACCTCACTAATGCGCTTCTGGAAGAATGGTCAAATATTACAATAGCCACTCCCCTAAACCTTGAGGGCAGCCATCCCAGAAGAGTTGAAGCTGTTATAGCTGCAAAAGGTGGGCCAACTCAATAATGAACCCTACGGACTAAGACTGGAATGCCATTAAAGTTCATCTAAGTAGAAAGGCAGGCCAACCAAAATCTGGTGCAGCTCTGCATAGAAACCAATCAGCTGCTGCTATTTTCTTTTTTTTTTAATCAAAGCTTAATAGAACAAGCTGAAGTTATAATTTGATTAGCTACCATGCACAGCTGCACAAGATCTTGCACTCCTCTTATTTAGTAATCAACCCCATTGTGCCTCTTTAAAATAAACCATTTAGTAAACATAAAAAAAATTAAAGTAGAACTGTGGGCAAACTACCCCCTCCCAACACACTTTTTGAATAGAGTAAGGGGGAGGTTATAACACCTGTCCGATTTTTTTTTTTTTCACGATCTGTGTTCCCATTGGGAGGATTTACCTGCACATCCTGTCCTATAGCCAACAGGTGTTCTTATTGGAAGATTTCCCCTCTAATACTTATCCGGGGACAAGCCAAAATTGAGATTTTCTTGGTAGACAGGACAATTAAAGAGGGTGAATCTACCCAATGGAGGCCCAGACAGCAATAAAAACCTGACAGGTGTTCTAATCCCACTACATTCTATCCACAAAAAAAAAAAAAAAAAAAAAAAAAAAAAAAAGGAAGAAGTTTTGCCTTTACTTATACAAAACAAATACAAAATTAATAGCATCTGTAATTTTACATATTTATGATATTTTTACATATTTATACTTATCCCACCAACAGAGAGAAGTATATATAATAATGCGGATCTATCATGAAATTTCACATTTCAGTCAGCAGGACACGTATTCTATTGGAAAATCATATTTTGAGGCCCACTTAAGTGGCACAAAGCCTAGGAAATGGTCTCATATACAATAACAGATAATACAAATGAAAAAAAGAAAAAAGTCTTTAATACGATAGCATACATGGATGAGATTAATAATAAAGCATATCTAAAGGCCCGTTTCACATGGGTGCAGTCCGGTCTGTTTAAAAAGCAATTAATCTGACATTTACCAAACATCTACTACAAGGGAATCTTCCAAGTGCGTGTCTTTATAAATGTCAGTGACTGAATTACCACCAGTGAATGTTTGCTGAAAGTCACGTTCATTGCTTTATACATATGCCTATGCCTCCAAGTGTCTATAGGAAGAGGTTGTGTATATTTACTTTTTCCTCTCTGGCACACAATGAAAATACAGAGAATAGTGTTCATACCTTCGCATAGGTCCTTTAATTAGATCTTCAATGTAAACTGCTCCTTCAATTGGATGGCCACGGGAATTTGCAAATGCTAAAACAAATTTCAGTATTAAATATTGTGTGAACCATTTACTACATCATTGAAAAAGGAACATATCTACCAATCATATTAGTGCATCACTTCCTACCAATTACATCAGTGCTCCCAAAAACTTTCTAAAATTATTAGAACACAACAAAAATGATGTGTACTATTCCTAATCCATACTAAACAAAGTAGCAAGTACAGAACCCACAAATTTTACACCCGCAAAAATATAAAACAAAGCCAATGCAGTGCCTACATTTAAAAAAGGGATCAAAGTCTTCACTAAGTTACTACAAACTGGTTAGATTAACTTATGCAGTCTGGAAGATATTGGAGGGTCTGATAAAAGACCACAAAAAAGTTTTGCTAGAAAACAATATTTTTAACAAGCGACAGCATGGATTCATGAAAGACTGAAGTTGTCATACAAATTTGATTACTTTTTATGATGAAGTATGTAAAAACAAAGTATTTGACAGTTCCCCACAAGCAGTGACGTATTTACCGTGAGTCAAACAAGGAGTTTGCCTAGGGTGGCAATCAGGGGGCGGCACCAACCCCGGAAGAGGTCCATTGTAATGATGTGCTGTAACCTCTAGCAACCAATTATTGAGCGGTAATAAGCAGTAACCTATAGCAGTGAGCAGCAATAATGTGTAATAACCTCTAGCAACCGGCCATGGTAGGCAGTTACTTCTAGCAACCAATCATTGAGCAGTACGGATGTGTAGTAACCTCTAGCAACCAGTGAGTGTGGACTTGTTCTTTATGTTTACATTACTAAAGTTTTTTGAGATACGTCTATGTGTGCGTGAGTGTGTTTGTTTTTGGTGATGTTGGGGTGGGAAACAATATTGCATGAAGGGACAAGAAAATGTTTGCCCATGCTCCAATCAATATTAAAAGACGGCCCTGGCTGAGAGTTGTGCTGATACCCATGGGGTGGGGGGTGCTCAATTTTAGTGTTGCCTAGGGCAGCACAATGAGTAAATACACCACTGCACACACGGCTAATGTGTAAGGTAGAGTGCAATTCCAGCCTAACAAACCATGCTTGAAAATGTTCCCTCCCCCTTCTTGCTAACTACCCTGTGTAAAAAAGTGAATATTTACCTACAGTATTTTAATTTGCTCCGCTCATGAGATCCCATGACAGTGAGCAGTGGCTGCAGGACAGAAGAGGAAGCCCTCAACATCAGCTGGGAATTGAGGAGCCATGATGTCACTCATAGGCTCCCAGGTCCCTGTTGCTATTCCCTCCTGTATCCTGCGTGATTATGTCTGATAGACCAGACCATACTAAAATAACCATACACATTTGTTTACCCAGGTAGCGGTAGGAGGAGAAGGAACAATCTTAAAGTGATTCTAAAAAAAAGGTACAAATTAAAAATAAAAAAAAGGTAATGATTTTGCACAGAGAAACCCCGTTACTCCTCTTCTTGGGTTCCCCATTGGCACTCCTGGTTCCTCCTCTACAGCGGGAAGCCACTTCCTATAGGGGAACTTGTGCAGGCCTACTCCCGAGTCCCGCTGTCTGTGTCCATAGACACAGACAGCAAGCCTCGGCCCAGCTTCCTCGTCATAGAATTTAATTGACAGCAGTAGGAGCCGATGGCTCCTGCTGCCATCAATCTGTAATGTGGGGAAGGAGAAAGAGGAGAGAGAGAGACACTGCTCTCATGCATATCACTGGATCAAGATCGGCTCAGGTAAGTATGGGAAGGGGGTTTGTTGTACAGAAGGTTTTTTACCTTAATGCAAAGAATGAACCCTTGAGCCTTTAGAACCACTTTAAGCTTACGGTTAGACTGGAAATACATTTTAAAATATATAGGCTTCGAAAATAGTTTGTAAATTGATAGAAAACTGGCGAAAAGACTGTATTCAGAGAGTAGCAATTAATGACTCATTCTGAGTCGTCCAATGTTATTAGTGGTGTACTTTTCAACCTATTGATAAATGATATAGCTTTTGGGATTTAAAGTACCATGCAGAGGTTATCAAGCTATGTAGTGAAATAACATCTGGGATGACTCAGACTTACAAGCAGACTTTCATGAGGCATATGTGGCAAATTAAGTTATGCACTTGGGGGCTAATAAATGCGCAAGCATCATACATCCTAGGAGGAGTACAACTGGGAGAATCAATGGTGGAGAAAATTCTGGGTGTCCTGGTAAATCAAAGACGTATAGCAAGTAATGCCAAGCTGCAGTTTCTAAAGCTAGCAAAACACTAGCTCTTTTTGCCCCTGTACAAACCATTAGTAATGCCTTATCTGGAATATGCAGTTCAGTTTTGGGAACCAGATCACAAAACGGATATCAGAAAACTGGAGAAAGTGCAAAGGCCAACCAAACTGGAAAGAGGCATGGCAAGCACCTATCCCTCGATCCTGCTGTGTTCTCCCCGCAGCCCGTTTCACCAGCCATCCAGTGTTCCCAGTGCTGCCATCTTCAGTGTGGGCACCCGACTGTGACAGCTTGCGGCTTCACAGCCGGGTGCATGCACGAGTAGCGCTGTGCTTTCTGAATAGTATTGTAATACTGGGATGGAGGGGGGAGGACAGCTTCTGTTTCTAATCGCCTAGGCGATTGCAGCGGAAGTGGGAGCAGGTACCTACTGGCCCCCCCCCCCCCCCACTGCCCAAAAGGTGCCAATCCTTAATAGGGAGCAGGGGACCAGTCTTTAAAGTGGAAATTCCCCTTTTGGGTATAGCTCCACTTTTTGTTTTATTGCAGGCTACCTGGTAAGCGTGCTGGGAAATATTTTTTTTTCCTCTTTCTTGATCAACTGTGGTTATAGGATACTGTATACAGAGGGTTTTCAATTTATGTATTTGTTTATTTTCTATTGGTTGAACTACATGGACTTGTGTCTTTTTTTTAACCTATGTAAAATATCACCCAAAACTACAGTTGTTCCGTATGTGATAATCCAATAAAAATTAGGGGACTGTGCACATGACATTTAATATATTAAAGTCATTTTAGAAGGTTTTTGAAAGCACTGATATAGATGGGGGTTAACCTAGTGAAATCACTGCACTAATATAGAATTTTCATTTAAAATTGATAAGATTCTCACGAGGAACTTGCAGCTAAAAGATAGACCGCTACATTTGTTTTTAAAGGCATGAAAGAGACCTGCGCTGGAGGTGAAAAAGCATAGTGCTCAATCATACTTACCGGTAATTGAATGCAGGGGTCGCCACCCATCTACATCTATCAAGTACCTGAAAATGGCAACAAGAACACTTTAAAAGAAAATTATATCTAAAGCTCAAGAATGAACTTTATCTGCTCCCTTTTGTTCTATTCAGCTAAAATTTTGGTTTATTTTATTTTCTGTTCAATAAGTTCAAAATAAGAACCTGTTGATCCTGCCAGAAAATTCAGTGCTGCCCTGTGAGATCTGTAGTACTCTCAAACGATCTTATCAAACCTTGCCCAGTTCACCTCTGCACTAAAGAACACTTCTGTCCTATGTTATGGAGAAATGTTCTGTAGACTTATTATATATTTATAGCTAACACATTTTTGTGTTTTGGATAGAATACAAAAGAAAAGAGCTCAGTCAGCAAATTTTTTTTGTGGTCTGTGACCTATTGGAGACATTTGCCTTTACTTCATGCCCTGAAGACCCAACAGGAACTGAGTGGAAGTTTCTACAAAATGCAGGAAATCCAGCCTCTTGGACAATTGTCACTGAAGCAGGTGTCCCCCAGGGAAGATTCAAACTCATCTCTTGTTCTGGCGACAGCTAAAAAAAATAAATCAGTCATGCACATTATCATTTTCCATCCCACTGCGAAAATGCTGCTCCACTGTAGATACATTACAATGAGTGAACAATGTCACCCTATGGGCAGGAACTCTAACTGGCAAGATCAACATTTGAAAACGTGCAGGGAAAAAAAAAAAAAAAAAGAAGAGATGAAAGAAAAACCTTATGCGGCCACCACATCTAAGGACTGGTAATTTAAATATATGAAAACATACTTTAAAGTCCAAACATACTTTAAAGTCCAGGGAAATTTAAAATCCTCATTTGCATAGGGCTGCCACCATAATGCAAGGGCTAAATGCTCGTTTGAGCCCAGGGGATGATGCTGCTGCCAGCTCTTTCCTCTTCTCCCTTAGGCCTCAGCAGTGGACTGTTCCATGGAATCCTTGTGCAGGACTATGGACTCTGCATTGAAAATCCATTTCCCTAGACCTAAACAAGCATTCAGCCCTTGCAGTGTGTGTGGGCAGCCCCATCTCATGTGAGGAAAAATAAATAAAAAATGATGCCTTTGAGGAACTATGCATTATTTACCTGCAGATCAGATATCCCGTCCTGTTAATCCCAGTTGTGCAGTGAACACCAATTAGTTTATCTGCCGTAATAAAAAAAAAAAACATTCATGTAAGTTTGATACATGGACTATTTGCATGGCAACACTGTTCTACCTGCTTGAAGTACTGTAGATACGATGCTGCTGTGTCACATTTCGCAGCGTCTACCTACTAAACTACAGAAGGGCAGAGGGGAGGATGTTTCAGAGGCATAGTCATAGGAATGACACATCATAAATGTCTACAAGCAGCAAGGTACCATGGACCATGTAGTCATTGGAATTTGAAAGAAAAAAAAAAAAAAAAAAAAAAAAAAAAAGAGTGGAGGAGAAGCTGCAAAGCATGTAGGGAATCCAGCAAGTTGTGGAAAGATGACCAGCAGACAGACAGCACGCACAACATTAACAGATATTTTTCAAGTTTATAGTGGATTTTCAAGTATAAATATTTTTGTATTGAAATTACAATACTAATGTTATACACTGCTCAAAAACAAATTAAAGGAACACTTTTTAATCAGCATAGCATCAAGTCAATTAAAGTCCTGGGATATTGATCTAGTCAGTTAAGAAGCAGAGGGGGTTGTTAATCAGCTTCAGCTGCTTTGGTGTTATTGAAATTAACAACAGATGCACTAGATGGGCAACAATGAGACAATCCCCAAAACAGGAATGGTTTTACAGGTGGAGGCCACTGACAATTTTTTCTCTACTCATCTTTTCTGACTGTTTTTCACTAGTTTTGCATTTGGCTAGGGTCAGTGTCACTACTGGTAGCATGAGGCGATACCTGGACCCTACAGAGGTTGCACAGGCAGTTCAGCTGCTCCAGGATGGCACATAATATGTGCCATTGGCAGAAGGTTTGCTGTGTCTCCCAGCACAGTTTCAAGAGCATGGAGGATATTCCAGGAGATAGGCAGCTACCCTAGGAGAGCTGGACAGGGCCATAGAAGGTCCTTAACCCATCAGCAGGACCGGTATCTGCTCCTTTGTGCAAGGAGGAACAGGATGAGCACTGCCACAGCCTACAAAATGATCTCCAGCAGGCCACTGGAGTGAATGTCTCTGACCAAACAATCAAACAGACTTCATGAGGGTGGCCTGAGGGCCCAACGTCCTCTAGTGGGCCCTGTACTCACTGCCCGACACCACAGAGCTTGATTGGCATTTGCTACTGAACACCAGAATACAGATTTACCTCTGGTGCCCTGTGCTTTTCAAAGACGAGAGCAGGTTCACCCTGAACACATGTGACAGATGTGAAAAGGTCTGGAGAAGCCATGGAGAACGTTTTGCTGCTTGTATCATTCAGCATGACCTTTTTGGTGGTGGGTCAGTGATGGCCTGGGGAGAGATATCCATGGAGAGACGCACAGACCTCTACAGGCTGGACAATGGCAACCTGACTGATATTAGGTACCTGGATGTAATCCTTGGACCCATTGTCAGACCCTACACTGGTGCAGTGGGTCCTGGGTTCCTCCTGATGTATCACAATGACCGGTCTCATGTGGTGATCCAAAAGAACATCTCTGGGATATCATGTTTCGGTCCATTCGACACCGCCAGGTTGCACCTCAGACTGTCCAGGAACTCAGTGATGCCCTGGTCCAGATCTGGGAGGAAATACTACAGGACAGCATCCATCGTTTCATTAGGATCATGCCCAGCCATTGTGAGGCATTCAAACAAGCACAGGGGGGGGCCATACAAACTACTGAGTACCATTTTGCGTTGCTGCAATGAAATTTCAGCAAAATGGACTAGCATGCTGCATCATTTTTTCACTTTGATTTTTGGGGTTTCTTTGAATTCAGTCCTCTGTAGGTTGATCATTTCCATCAAACGATGGGGCATCCTTATGTTTCTAACACATTACCCAGTCCATATCAGTATAGATATCTAGCATGATATTTTTTCCCCATTGGGAGCTGATGTGTTTTCAATATTTTTTTTGAACAGTGTATAATAAAATTGTATTGAGTGACTATGCAGTATATCTCTATTAAAAACCCTGTCTAGGTTTCTTCTTCTATGTAAGGGAGGGGGCTTGTGAGGTTTACCATAATAAATACTTTCTATACAGTTTCATTATCCGCTGTAAATTAGACTTGAACACAGTCGGTCTTAAAGGAGAAGTTAACTTTTCATAACATGTTACACCCATATTCAGGGTGTAACATGTTTTGAAAAGGACCACCACCTGCTCCAACAGCTTTTCTCCTCCCACTAGCTGTCAAAATTCTTTAAATATGCGGCCGGGCGGGGCTCCGCCTACCCGGCTGAGTCACTCATTCACAGTATTCTGTGAATGAGAAGACTACAGCCTTAGTGGCTGTCGACTTGTAGTTCTCAATGAACTACCAAGGCGATGTGAGCACTGTGGTAGTTCATGGATTCTTCCAGAGTGAAACGGCTTGCTTGTACGGGCAAGCAGATATACCAACAGGTCCGCAGGAGTCTGCTGACCGCTGGTGCAATGCTTCACTGCTTTAATAAATACACATTATTTTCACCTGAGAGAAGAAAAAAAAAAAAAGAAAAAGGCTTTTGGAGGTACTATGTATGTTAATGATTTTTTAGAACGGTCCCTCAGCCTGTCCGCTAAACTGCGCATTGCAAACTATTATAAACAATACATTCTGCCTATCGAGTCCTGAAAAAATTTAATTTGTAGTTTTATTGTAGCAGGACTATACATAGAACTATTTTACGTATGCTGTGTGAAAGGAAACACAAAACCTGTTCAGGGTTTCTCAAAATTTGACTGCAAAACTGGAGATACACTAAACTAAACTCCAATGGGATACTGAAACACAATACTTGCATTAATGCACCGTATTGACAAAACTTAAAATTAATTTTCAAATCCAGTTAGATGTACTTGAATTTGCCAGAGTGGCAGCACTAAGAGCCAATTAGTGGAAAGCACATATAGGAACAAGGTATATGCTCACTGAAGAAAAGAGCAGAGGGATGAGCTCATCACAGTGCTTCACCTTCACTGTTCAGCAACAAGCCAGGGGCAGCGAGTCGACGTGTGCGTACATGTATGTGTGTGTGTGTGTGTGTGTACACGTGTGCGTGTTTTTGAACAGCAGCAAAGAAAACCAGGTCACTATGTTGACTATAGTAACTTAAGCAAATCTTAGGACTGATAGACACATCAGCATTTTTTTTTTTTTTTTTTTTTTTTTAATTCACTTGTCTTTGAATTTGCTAGGGACTTTTACCACTCCAGTAAATGTTTTTTTTTTCCCCCTAGCACAGCCACATTTGCCACTACCTTCTTCTACATCATAACCCTCTTCTCTTTGCAGAGTGTCTAACATCTGTCTGTCATTGACCAGCAGGGAAACTACAGCATTGCAATACTGCAGTATGAATAGAATTTAATGAAACATCACTTGTGAGATTTCAGTAAAGTTTTATTAAAGTAATTAGTGCATAGAGAACGGCTCTTCATCACAGTATCCTTCTAGTGCACACCAGAGGCTGTTTGTCAGCACAGATGCAGGTGTGTATTGGCCCTAAAAGGGTAGGTGCCCATGAACAGTAGGAGGATTTTACAGGTAAATCACATGCATAAAAAAAAAGACCCTGGCAACAGGATCTCCCTAAAATAAAATTAAACAATGAAAAAAGTACCATATTTCAATCCTAAGGATTCACTTTAAGTAATTTTCCACAATTATTTTTATGTATGCATCTTTGGCTCAATATTAAGATTAGTCAGACTATAATAGGAAGTTTTGTAAGCAAAAAGTACAACTGATAACACAAGGTACCCATACCTACACATGAATTCTACTAACTATGCTTGAAGCCCATTCATTGCTATACACATCAGTCATTTCACACTAGAACAGGCTCAGCAGAGAACAATGTCCTTCAACAAACTGACCAGACAGAGCCAACTGTACTTTCCAGAAGTACTTATCAAGTATGTTCAGATTATATTTAATGGTTTATAAAAAGTAAAAATATAACTCCTGTTTAAGTTTTCAGAGCTGATAAAAAGCTACAGTACAATGACCAAGTCACAGTACAAAGTATACCATTTTAGTCAATGAAGTGGATCCAGACACATACATTTCTGTGAACACAAAGAAAGAAGAGGCAGAAGGCCAACTTACCATTATCTTCATTGGCAAAAAGAAACTGTCTGACAAGTCTCTTGAACTGGTGGACTGTTGCATCATCTGGTATTTTGAGACCTGCTGTGTGTAGCTTCACATACTGCACACTCCTAGGCAAATCCTTTACAAATGGGGAAAAAAAATGGTTAAAAACGGAAGTCTTACATACCAGAGATAGATACTGTCAGAGTGCAATGATGACCATATGAAAGTGGACAGTCATGGAATATCAGTTACATAGTAATCAGGAGACACTAACTGATCAAATACACTTCAAGGGTTCGTTACCACAATGTCCGTTTGAGCTGCGCTGATCTGCATGGATCAAACACAGTTTCAACACCAGGGTACAAAGAAAACATTTGTTTTCTGTGTCCTGTTCACACCATACAGATGTGGTGGGTGTGCTTTGCGTAAAAATGCAGAAACTTGCTGCACCACATCATGCCACAACTAGCAGAGTTGAATTAAATGTCACATTGAATTAAATGTCAATGGTAACATTTCACAAAGTTAAAAATAATTCATCATGCTGCCCTTTTACACAATGTACACCAACAGGGGAACATATACAGAGCATAACATGCCCCAGCTGCTGTGAATGAGCTATTAAAATGGAAGTAAAGTCCACTTTTTTAATTCTACCTACAGGTAAGTCTATAAAAAGGCTTCCCTGTAGGTACAGTGAATATCTCAAACTTGCACGGTTTAGGAAATATTCACACAAGATGCAGCCAGAGACCTCACTGGCGCATGCACTCTGAAGTGGCGGCATACTCATGCCGTACCTCCAGATCTTTGTACCGGGGTTCATCACCATTGTCCTCACTGTGGCCCCGGCCATTTGTACAGCTGCAAACGAACCGGAAGGAAGACCAGGTGAAGACGGAAGCATATGGGAGCAGTAACACAGCTGCGCTGGAGGGATCAGTGTGCACATAGGTCTGTCACAATGTGCTAATATGCGGTGCTTACTAGTACATTATGACATAAACCTGCAGGGGGGGCCTGATTTTTTGTTATCTTTATGGCAGTATACTACTACTTTAACAAGACTTGACCCAGACCACATCTTCTTTTGTTTTTCTTTTTTAAATATTTCTATGCCTATATTTCCTTGCTGTTGTCCTTGCAAATGCACTAGAAATGAACATGCGCCCCAAGCTGTTCTATAAATGCACTGAGGTTTGCTTACTGCCAGAAAGATTTGTTTTGGCCTAACAATTGTTTTTTCTACGGAGTTCTACAGTTCCTCTGACACCTGGAAGTTACTGCAAGACACCCACATACACAAAACTATTGCCCAAATTGACTCTTGAGTTTTCATCTCAAATCTATAGGTACATGTAAATCAAAATATTACAATCAAATATAATCAGATGGAAGGAAACACATAAGTACACTGCTCAAACAAAATTAAAGGAACACTATGAAAACACATCAGATCTCAATGGGGAAAAATATCATGCTGGATATCTATACGGATATGGACTGGGTAATGTGTTAGGAACATAGGGATGCCCCATTGTGTGATGGAAATGAAAATGATCAACCTACAAAAAGGACTGAATTCAAAGACACCCCAAAAATCAAAGTGAAAAAAATGATGCAGCAGGCTAGTCCATTTTGATGAAATTTTACTGCTGCAACTCAAAAAAATTGGTACTAGTTTGTATGGCCCCCACGTGCTTGTATGCATGCCTGACACGTTGGGGCATGTTCCTAATGAGACAACGGATGGTGTCCTGGGGTATTTCCTGCCAGATCTGGACCAGGGCATCACCGAGCTCCTGGACAGTCTGAGGTCCAACGTCGGTGTTGGATGAACCGAAACAAGATATCCCAGAGGTGTTCCATTGGATTTAGGTCAGGCGAGTGTGGGGACCATTCAGTGGTATCAATTCCTTCATCCTCCAGGAACTGCCTGCATACTCTCACCACATGAGGCCAGGCATTGTCGTGCACACAGAAAGAACCCAGGATTCACTGCGCCAGCGTAGGGTCTGACAAATGGGTCCAAGGATTTCATCCCGATTCCTAATGGCAGTCAGGGTGTCATTGTCTAGCCTGTAGAAGTGCATCTCTCCAAGGATATGCCTCCCCAGACTATCACCGACCCACCACCAAAATGATGATGCTGAACGATGTTATAGGCAGCATAACATTCTTTCACCTCTGTCACATGTGCTCAGGGGGGAATCTGCTCTCATCAGTGAAAAGCACAGGGCGCCAGTGGCAGACCTGCCAATTCTGGTGTTCAATGGCAAATGCCAATCGAGCTCTAGAGGACATTGGGCCCTCAGGTCACCCTCATGAAGTCTGTTTCTGGTTGTTTGGTCAGAGACATTTCACACCAATGGCCATACTGGAGATCATTTTTTGGGCTCTGGCAGTGCTCATCCTGTTCCTCCTTGCACAAAGTAGAAGATACCGGTCCTGCTGATGGGTTAAGGACCTTCTACGGCCCTGTCCAGCTCCCCTACAGTAACTGCCCGTGTCCTGGAATCTCCTCCATGCTCTTGAGACTCTCCTGGGAGACACAGCAAACCTTTCTGGCAATGGCACATATTGATGTGCCATCCTAGAGATTTGCCATCCTGGAGGAGGTGGACTGCCTGTGCAACTTCTGTAGGGTCCAGGTATCGCCTCATGCTACCAGTAGTGACACTGACTCTAGCCAAAAGCAAAACTAGTGAAAAATAGTCAAAGTTGAGTAGGGAAAAAAAGTGTCAGTGGCCTCCACCTGTAAAACTATTCCTGTTTTGGGAGTCGTCTCATTGTTGCCCATTTAGTGCACCTGTTAATTTCATTAAACCAAAGCAGCAGAAACTGATTAAAAAACCCCTCTGCTACTTACATGACCAGATCAATATTCCCAGTTTAACTGACTGGATGCTATACGGATTAAAAAAAATGTTCCTATAATTTTTTTTGAGCGGTGTACAAAACGACTATATATTTACTTTAGCCGCCTCCCGCCCACCATATAAGGAAAAAACCGTATGGGCGGCAGTTCTCTCGTTCTGGGAGGGACATCATATGACCTTCCTCCCACTCTTAACTTCACATTCGCGCCCCCAGGGGCGCACGGCGATCGGTGGTGTGCTGTGTCCCTCGGACACAGCGGATCACCAGAGTAAAGAGCCGATGACGTCGGCTCTGCCATGCGATCAGCTGTGTCCAATCACAGCTGATCGCATATAAAACAAAGAAATGCCAGTTATCGGCAGTCCTCTCTCCACGCTGACAGCACAAAGAGAGGAGAACCGATAAGCGGCATTCCTCAGAGGGGACATAGGCACTGTTGATCCGTGTAGCCCCATCAGTGCCAATCAATGCCACATATCAGTGCCTACAAGTGCACATCAATGCTGATTAACAGTGCCATACAGGCGTGCTGCCTTTCAGTGCCCAGCAGTGATGCCTGTCAATGCCACCTACCAGTGCAGCCTATCAGTGCCCATCACTGCAGCCTCATTAGCGCACATCAGTGAAGGAGAAAAATTACTTATTTGGAAAATTTGTATAGCAGAAACTAAGAATTTTTTTTATAATTTTGTCGTTTTTAGTTTGTTTAGTAAAAAATAAACTCAGCGGTGATCAAAATACCACCAAAAGAAAGCTCTATCTCAAAAAAAAATGATAAAAATTTTATTTGGGTACATTGTTGCATGACCACGCAATTGTCAAAGTGCGACAGGGCTGAAAGCTGAAAATTGGCCTGGGCAGGAAACGTTCTCGGTAGGCAAGTGGTTAAAAGAAAGTTAAGATACATTTTTTTCTTTTTGCCATACAGCATCAGAGACATAACTTAAAAAGTGTTACTAAACCCAGGACCCTGCATTCACTATATCTGGTCTCACAGTACACAGAACATGGAAGTGCAATTATTGTAGTTAAACTGCTATATACCTCTTCTCATCAGTATATAGCAGTCTTGTGACTTCCATCATTGTCTAACAGAGCACTGGTTAAAGCTTGTAGGAGGAGTTTTCTTTCTGCTCTAGGAGGATGCAAAACCCCTTACCTCTGTCTGGACAGTGCCGATTGGCTCTGTGCTTATCACGTGCATTCTCCCAAGAAAGAAAAACAAAAAAAAAAAAAAAAAAAAAAAAAACAAAACACAACTCTCTAGCAATGCACACTAAGATTAACATGTGCAGAGTGTCTCCACACTGTATGTTTTTATCAGACAATAAGAGAGGGACAATGGAAGAAGGGGAGGATTCGAGAAGTAAGGATCAAACAGCGTTTTTACACACTGCAGAGGATTAATCCCTTAGGTTCCACAGTGAATATAACAAGCATGCTTTACTGCATATACAGACTGATTTTACAGTTGTGGGTTTAGCAACACTTTAATTGCAATGAAGTCTGTCCCGTGATCAACTAGCTGCTGCATAACTGTAGAAATCTCTACAGCATCGATTTTATGACAACGCAGGGATTAACATCAGCTGCTGAAAGAGTACCACTCGCCATTCTCCACCATTTATAGAACTCCTACTATTCTCTCTCTGATAGCACAAAGCATCTAGACATGTACAATGGTTTGCCACACAGAGAAGCGTGATTCGTCACTCCAGAGAACACACATCGCCACTGCTCTAGAGTCCAGTGGCAGTGCGCTTTACACCACTGCACCTGACGCTTTGCACTGCACTTGGTGATGTAAGGCTTGGATGCAACTGCTCGGCCATGGAAACCCAATCCATGAAGTGCTCTACACATCGTGTTGCCTTCAGATTAGCACAACAACAAGTTTGGAGGTCTTTAGCTATTGACTCTGCAGACAGTTGGCATCTTCTACGCACTATGCGCTGACCCCGCTCTGTCATTTTACATGGCCTACCATTTCATGGCTGAGTTGCTGTTCTCAGTTGCTTCCACTTTGTTATAATACCCTAAAAGTTGGCCGTGGAATATTTAGTAGCAAGGAAATTTCACGGATGGAATTATTTGCACAGGTGGCAACCTATCATGGTACCACGCTTGAATTCATTGAGATCCTGAGAGTGACCCATTCTTTCACAAATGTTTGTAGAAGCAGTCTGCATGCCTAGGTGCTTGATTTTATACTCCTGTGGCCATGGAGGTGATTGGAACACCTGAATCCAATAATTTGGAGAGATGTCCCAATACTTTTGGCAATATAGTGTATGTGAACCGGCACTTAATACCTTATTACCAAGCAAGTAGATTCCTTGATTTTCCATTACCTTATACATTATGACAAAACTAGTGTTTTCACCCTATCAACAGGTTACTTTTAGATGGACAAACGACTTCTGTTGAAAGGGATGGCCGTACACTGATCAGACCTAAACCAGTCCCCACTGAGCTGGACAAAATTTTCATTCCATCTATGGTCAGTTTAACTGTCAGTTTCTTGTGCTCTCAAATGAACTATCAAGCCATCTAATAATTGATGTCATAACAGAGGCTAAGATGGCAGCTTCCATGGCTGTAAATGATAGTTGGATTTAGTTCTGCTTTAACAGTACCAAAAGCAAACAGGAGACGTTCATTGTTAGAGTTTACATACAATTTAATAAAACAGTGAGGATATGGAGGCCCATCATACTGTGGGTTATTACAGAGGACCTCTGTGGTCTATGTCACACATTGGTCTTTACCTTAGTGGTATAATAGCGTTCGGTGTTTGTCAAATCTAGGATCAATCCAAGTTCTTCATTTTGGTTGCGAATTGCAGTCACTAAATCCTTAGGGGTAAATTTCTGGGTCTGTGTCACACGTTGATTAGTGGCCTACAATGAAAACAGTGATTAATAAACACATAGTCCCTTAGGCATTTTTCTGGGTGTTGTATTATTGCATTTCTTTTGGGAGGGAGACATCATGCCCACACACGAGCCCTCTATTCTGAGATTTTATAGACACAATCCTTCACGCAGAGAACATGGACAACCTCACTTTATCTCAAAGGATATTGAGGAACTTGTCACAAAAAACCCCACCAAAAAAACAGAAGCACTATTGTCCCCCTGTAGCTGTCACTATTTTGGGAGAAGATAAGTAGTTAGTTGAGCAGTAACAAATAGAATTGCAGAAAAAAGGGAGATAATATTTCTTAGAACCCAACTCTAGCCAAAATGCCCCCCCCAAGTATTTGACAGAGTGGGTTTTTATTGCGGTCTGTCCTCTCCTTGGAGAGATTTTTTTCCTCACTGCTTGTCCCTGTGACACCAGGACAAGAATTAACCACATGCCGCCCAGCCACTGTAGAAATACGGCGGCAGGGCGGCACGGCTGGGCAAAACCACATTTTAAAATGTGTGTTTGCAAAACAGGTAGGGGGCGCACGCAAGGCGCGCCACCGCCCTAGCTGTCCCGCCGATCACGGCCGCGGATGTCAGTCGCCGGGTCACAGCCGGTCGTTACCGGCTGTGTCCCGCCGATTAGCGGCAATCACTAACAGAAAGAGCTCTGCAGCCATGCTCTCTGTCAGTTCTCTGTCAGCTCCTGACATGCTGAGCTGGAGAGAAGAGTTTCTCTCTCCCGATCAGTGTCTGCAGTACACCCCCCCCCCCCTAGTAAAACACTCCCCTCACACAGTTAACCCTTTCAGTAAATAACAAAGTTAACCCCTTCCTCCCCAGTGCCATTAGTACAGTGTCAGCGGTTTTTTTTTTTTTTTGCACTGATCACTGTATTGGTGTCACTGGGGATGTTAGTGACCCCAAGTCAGTTCCCCCCCAGTGTCAGAATGTCCGCCACAGTCCCGCCATAAGTCGCTGATCGCCGCCATAAGTCACTGATCGCCGCCATTAATAGTATAAAAGAAAAATTAAAAATCCCAGTATCTTTCCCGCCATTTGTAAACGCTATAACTTTCACGTAAACCAATTAATTTACACGTATTGGGGTTTTTTCTAGCAAAGACATGTCGCAAAATGCATTTTGGCTGAAATTTATGACGACATTTGATTTTTACTAGACATGTTTTATAGCAAAAAGTCCAAAATATTGTTTTTTTTTCTCAAAATCTCAAAATTGTCAGCCTTTTTTTTTTTAGAGCGCAAAAAACCCCCCCAAAAAAACGCACAGGCGATCAAATACCACCGAAAGAAAGCTCTATTTGTGTGAAAAAAAGGACATAAATTTCATTTATGTACCGTATTGCATGACTGCGCAATTGTCCGTTAAACTAACACAGCGCTGTATAGCAAAAAAATGGCGTAAATTGCAGTATCTATACCATAGTTTGTAGACGATATAACTTTCACACAAAGCAATCAATATACACTTATTGGGATTTTTTTTTTTTTACCAAAAACATGTAGCAGAATACATTTTGGCCTAAATTTATAACTAATTTTGAGTTTACTATATATTTTTTTATATTTGAAAGTAAAAAATATCGTTTTTCTTCAAAATTTTTGTTTTTTTTTTTTGTTTATAGTGTGAAAAATAAAAAGCGCACAGGTGATCAAATACCAGCGAAAGAAAGCTCTATTTGTGTGAAAAAAAGACATAAATTTCGTTTGGGTGCAGCATTGCATGACCGCGCAATTATCAGTTGAATTAGTGCAGCGCCGAGTAGTAAAAAGAGGCCTGGTCATTAAGGGGGGGTAAATCCTCAAAAGGGCAAGTGGTTAAAAGGGTGTGGGTGTCAGACAGCAATAAAACTTTTAATCCTTCCAAACTGTGTACAATATTCAAATGTTTTGTCTGGAGATGGGCTTCAAACTACAACTATACCCAAATTTTGGTAAGAAACTTTTTTTTTTTTGGTTACTTATACAGGTATCGCACATAAAAATAAATGATTACGATAATCAGCAAAGGGTCAGAAAACAAATGATGAGCTATACCGAAATTATAAAAGAGGGAGGGGACACAATTACCAATTCATTTCACATGAAACCGATGACAATTTCATGCAGATTAGTACTCATACCTGAGAAATCTGGCAGCAACTCCCCAGCAGGATGACAACAGTTATTTTACCTGCAACGAATTCACTGCAGTGTTGTCAGCCTGTGCAGTGGTGTTCTGGCATACACTGAGGAGAATGGTTATCAGCATAGCTACTGCTGATAACTTTCCCTCTACCTGTCAATCAGAGCAGGAAGTATCCACCAAAACAAGAAGCATAGAGGGCACTCTGTATGACATGGAGAAGGAGGACATCTTTGAGATTGCTATATACACTATATCAGACGCAACACACCACCTGCAAAATTTACCAGACTGAGGGCCTCATTGGTCTCTGTGGTATCTAAATCTGTGACTAAGTCCAGGTAAATTTTTTAAACTGTGGGAGGCCTGGCTAGGCACCCTTCCACTTGGTTGAAGATAGAATAGAGTGGTGGTGTGCCTTCAGGCATTGTGTGATCTCACTTTTCCCATTAACCTAACAGGGGGCCACATGTACCATTTGTGATTTAATATTACTCTTTATTCTCTTTTCTATGTAATAGGTATTACTGGGTGATACTTGAGGATGTCGCATGCAGAGAACACCACACATGGTTTGCTTTAGTGCTTTAGATTTTTCAGCATTTTTTTTTTCCTTTTATCGTTCTTGCTTAGATGTCCACAATTTGTCTGAACAATATTGTAAAGATGCCAAGTGTACTTGTATAACCCGCTATACCTGTGTTCTACTGTTGCCACCCTTCGTCACAGACTTCTATAAGATCACACTGTATTAGGAGGTGGATATTCTGTGTTTTCAATGTTTTGTTTTTGTTTTTTTGGAGTGTGCTGGAACATGTAAAAGTTTTTATGAAAATGGAAACGGATTAAAAGAAAAAAAAAATGTATGACTTCATGAATTTTTGTTAAATGCAGCTAGAATAAGATACTATAATGGCAGTGAGGCCCTGTTCACGCTTTTCTTTGCCTTTATTATAGGCAAACTTTGCTGTTATTATTAAAAAGCCACACTAACACACATGTTGCATAAAAAAAAAAAAAAAAAAGTGCATGCATGGACTCTTTGGTGCGTTTCCTGTGCACTGGGCAGCCCATTCATTTGACACAAAGAAAAAGGCAATGCATGCACATTAAAAATGAAAAAGTAATTGATAGTGCTGACTTTATTAGACAGTGTTTTATTAATGCATGCACATTGTTGCATCGTAACTATTAGAACCTAGCCTAAGAAATTAGAAACCAAGAATCTGTTAGTATTACCTGAAAGCCTGGACTCTCCGCTGGCTCCTACCATACACATCTGTCTCATATAAACTACAATGTACTGCATAAACAAAACCTGTAGTGAGGAAGTATGTAAGTCACAACTGCTGACAACACTTGTTACCTGGCTGTCATTTTAGTATTTGCACCTTTAAAGCCTCTGACATGGTATATCTGCTGATTGGGAGTTCTGAATTCACCTTTTCTAACCTGTATGCTTGATCTAGACTAGTTGCTAAAAGTACTGAAGCTAAAAAACAGCCAGGCTGCAGCTTTTTTAGAGGCATATCATCGATGACAGCCCCCGTATTCCTGTCAGTCTTCCTTTCTTGGAAGCTGTAACCTTCACTTACTGGGCCACACAGATGCAGTTGGAAATTGAGGGCAAGATTACAGCTCATACTGAAAACACTAAACACTTTAAACCACCTATGAGTAAAGTCAAATCTTTCAACAATTACTTACCCCTTTCAAAGGAACTTTGAAGGCAATAAATCGGGATCCTGGAACTCGCGTTCCAATGGCAGTCAGAGAGCGCCACCTGCAGAAAAATAATGATCTGTTATAGTGACTTCGAATAAAAGCAAGAACTAAGGCAGCTATTGTGGGTTAGGCTAAAGTCTGAAACCCTTCACTATATTAACACTTTCCATCACAACGTACATTGATCTGGATGGGAGCCACTCAAATAATTCAAGCATAAATAAATTATGCATATGTATTAATTCAAACAAACATACTATGGTGAATGGGTAGTTCCACATAGAAGCAATGTACACAAGTCTAACAAACAGATGAGAACTTAAACATCATATAGTACCAATTGCTACAAAGTTTAACCAACAAGTTGAGTAATTTAAAGGCCCATTTACAATTTGTGTCAGTTTTAACCGCCTCCCGCCTGCCATATAGTAATATGACGGACGCAAGGTGGTTCTCTTGTTCTGGGAGGTCGTCATATGACATCCTCCGATTCTAACCGCGCATGCGCGGCTCCTGGACCACGGCGATCCGAGGGACACAGCGGATCACCGATCCACGGAAAGAGCCGAAGATGTCAACTTGGTCATGTGATCAGCTGTGTCCAATCACAGCTGATCACATGTAAACAGGGAAATGTCAGTTATCGGCATTTCTCTCCCCACGAGCGGTCAGTGAGAGAGGAGAGCCGGTAATCGCCATTCCTCGGAGGGGACATCTACACAGATCAGAGCACTGATGATCAGTGTGCCCTGGTGATCTGTGTAGCCCCGGCAGCGCCACCTGTCAGTGTCCATCAGTGCCAGCTCTCAGTGCTCATCCATGCCACATGCCAGTGCCATATTTCAGTGCCCATCAGTGCCACATATCAGTGCCCATCTGAGCTGCCTTTCCGTGTCACCCATCAGTGCCAGTCAGTGACACCTATCAACGCCAGTCAGTGCCGCCTATCAGTGCCAGTCAGTGCCACCTAACAGTGCCATATAAGAGTGCTGCCTTTCAGTGCTCATCAGTGATGCCTGCCAATGCCCATCAGTGCCACCTACCAATGCCTCCTCATCAGTGCCCATCACTGCAGCCTCATTAGCGCACATCAGTGAAGGAGAGAAATCACTTATTTACAAAATTTTATAACAAAAACTAAGAAAAAAAACTTTTTAAAAAAAATTTCAGTGGTTTTTGGTTTAAGAAAAAATAAAAAACCCAGGAGGTGATTAAATACCACCAAAATAAAGCTGTCACAAAAAAATTATAAAAATTTCATATGGGTACAGTGTTGCATGACCGCGCAATTGTCAAAGTGCAACAGCGCTGAAAGCTGGAAATTGGCCTGGGCAGGAAGGGAGTATAAGTGCCCTGTAGGCTAGTAGTTAATGCACCCTAAAACATCTGTATGAGGCATGTTTCTTGTCAGAGCTGCCGCTTTTCAACTTTGTTCATGTGCACCATCAACTGATAGAACTGGGAGGGTGATACTAGTACTGTTGTGCTTGTCTACATGAGAATTTGTTTGCATCTGTTTTTTTCCCCCTATACAAGTCAAAAGGCAGCTTATTGCAGTTTTGGAAGTGGTCAAAACAGCTGTGAATAACCCACAAGGGTCTCAAACCATTCTTGCACAATCAACCTTCACATGCCATTAATGCATGTGCATGCTACACCTTATAGCTACACACACTATGTTTATCAATGGGCTGTGGCGTACGCATGTATGGAAAAATACTGCCTGTCAACAGATTCCTGTATTTTTTTTTGTTTTACTCAACTGTACGCAGACCATGTTTATGCACATTGAAGACAATCTACATTTACATCAGTAAAAATAAAAATAAACAACACCTGTATGCCTAAACATTATCTGTTTTAGGCAGCAGTGTGCAAGAGGCCCTAAAGTGTATGTTACCCCAAAATTTAGGAATCAATATATTAATTTGGTTATTCATATACTGCTTATTAAATGATGTATGCTGCTAAATATCTAAAAGGAACCTGCCAGTTCCCCATGGTTCCAAACTTGTTACCCCTAGCACAGAGGCAAATCCAAGTCGGCAAGGTCAGTGTGCATTATGGAGATAGCTGCTAGAAGTTATAGGACTCCATGCTAATGCACAGCTTGTAAGGCCTGTCCCCACCCAGCCTTGCTGTCTTGACTGATGGTAGAGGGCCTGACACAATACTGACACATTCAATTCTGACTCAGTGAAATATGGTGCACTGACAGATCACCCTGCACTGGTCACACCTTTACTGACACTGGCTTTTGCCAGCAGTTGCCCTCATGAAGCATGGCAATATTGACTGGCAGTAGGGGGAATGGCCGCAAAATTATCCCACAGTGTAAACAGATGGGGAATATGTATCCCCGCTGCTTGAAATTAACCAAACAGCCTGGCCACATAAGACATTTTTTTTTTTTTTTTTTACAAAACACTTTTGTCTCTCTGAAAGGACAGCGAGAGATAAAATGCATCTCTCTCCCTCCATTCAGAGAGAGAAAACAAGGGGGAGTTAATAAGGGGTTAATCATTTTATTTAAAAAAAAAATATATAAAAAAAAATTGGTTGCTTTTACCAGACATCTACACATGGATGTTTATCCCTTTGATCTACAGATGAATGCACAGAATGATATAAAACTAATAGGTTACATGGTATCTTTCTGTAGTCTCTGAGCAAGTTAGTACCAGTTCACATACAGAATATGAACCGCATCCAATCCGCACGACATGTGAAATAACATTGCTTCTTATGGTGCCTGTCCACATACAGTGCTCAGCATAAATGAGTACACCCCCATTTGAAAAGATTTTACTCAATATATCAATGAACACAAGAACAATTTCCAAAATTTTGACAAAACAGTTTTATAGAACATTAGTTTAGCTCGTTACATGAAAGATTAATAATATAACTTAGATTACAAAATCTTCAGTTTTACTCAAGTTAGTTGATGCAAAAATGAATCCATCCCACAACAAACTACTCCATTTAGTATTTTGTATGACCTCCATGATTTGTAAGGACAGCACCAAGTCTTCTAGGCATGGAATGGATAAGTTGGCAACATATTGCAACATTATCTTTTTTCATTCAAGTATGACCTCTTTTAGCGCCTGGATGGAGTGCGGTGCTCAACTTGTCTCTTCAGAATTCCACATAGGTGTCCGATTGGGTTCAGATCAGGAGACATACTTGGCCACTGAATCACTTTCACCCTGTTCTGCAGCAATGGCCATAGATGTGTGTTTTGGATCATTGTCATGTTGGAAAAGTGCACAACAACCAAGGGCATGGAATGATGGCAGCATCTTCTCTTTCAGTATAGAGCAGTACATCTGTGAATTCATGATACTATCAATGAAATGCAGCTCCCCGATACCAGCAACATTCACACAGCCCCACAGGACACTGCCACCACCATGTTTCACTGTAGGCACCATGCATTTTTCTATGTACTCCCCACCTTTGCCACGCCATACAGTTTTCAAGTCATCGGTTCCAAAAAAAAAATACTTATCTTTGCCTCATCACTCCAGAGTACAGAGTCCCAGCAGCCTTTTTCAGCATGAGCCCTGGCAAATTCTATGTGGGCTTTTTTGTACATGGGAATTAGCAGAGACTTCCTTCATGGACCACACCCATGCATGCCATTCCTCTGCAGTGTACGCCATATTGGGTCACAGGAAACAATCACCCCAGTTTGGGTACTTTAGCTAACTGCAGTGAACTGTCATGGCGATTTTCTTCAACAGAAGATGCTTCTATCAAGGTGTTAACTTTCGTGGATGGCCTGGACGAAGCTGTGAGATGGTTGCAAGTCCATCTTTGTATCACTTCTGCTACAGTATTCTGACTGATAACTAAAGCTTTAGTAATCTTCTTGTAGCATTCATCTTTCTTGTGTAAAGAAGTTATTTTCTGCCTCAGGCCTTGTGACATTTCTCTTCCATGTAGTGCCATTGTTGACAGCATGAAATGAGACGGTTTTCGTTAAGAAACACCCTTTTATAATCAACTGACTGCTGGACACCTATTTAATGAATAATTAGACTCGCCTTTATTTGAACTCTTGATAATTAGGATTTTATTGTCTAAAATTTAGCTTTGCTCCTAAGACTTTCATTGGGGTGTATTCATTTTTGCAACATTGTCTTGAATTAGTTAGGAAAAATACTTTGTGTGTGCAAAATTAACAAATCTTTTTTGCAATCAATGACCTGGATTTGTGGGAGAATTTTGTAGTATAATGTCCCATAGAAAATGTTGATTCTAAAAGGAAAGTAAAAGGTTTTCTGATAAATCTATTGGGACGTACTCACTTATGCTGAGCACTGTATGTCCGGTGTACTGACGGTGTGGATTTAGTGCGGTTTGAAAAAGAATCATGTATGATTTATGAACAGTGCGGTCCGGTTCAGGTGCGGATTACAGGCTCTTGACGTCTATGGGAACAGTTTCTAAATCACGTGTGTGAACAGGATAAAATCCTGACCAGAAACCTCTATAAACCTCACATGAACAACTACTGTGTCAATTAGCTGTGAATCCTGAGCTTCAATCTGCACCACCCAAGTGGTAATCGGCGCTTAGGCTGCATTCACACATGGGCATTTTGAATCACGAGCAGAATCGCTGTTCAGGAACTCTTGGGCAACAAGCTTCACACGATGCTGTTTGCCATGATTTATCACGCAACAATTGTGGCAGGCCCACGAATGGCATCTGAACACATGGCTCTGCAATTTGTCACAAATCAAACTGGCCACGGGTGAATGCAGTCTTATTTATAAACACTGCCAGACTGGTTGTGGGGCTTTTTAAATTTTTTTTTTAAACAGCTGAAAGCTGCAGACCTTCTCTGTGTAGACATTAATCCGGATTTGATTAAGCAGAGCTGAATTGCTTTGTACTGGGAGGGGGGAGCAGGGCAGAATTACTAGATGTGCTACACATGCCCTGTGTACAAAAGGATGACCATGTGAAGCATGCCCAAAGTTTGAAACTAGCTAAAAAGGGGAGGGGGGGGGGGGGGGGGGGGGGGGGGACACCACACCTCTCTAC